CGATGTCCACCATGCCGTCATTCCATACAAAAGTTATACCCTGGGATTATACAGCCGAGGCTAGGAGGAAAGGCAAAGTCAGGTTCGAAGAGACTATTGCAGCACAGGGTATGACAAGAACTGAGAGTCTATACCCCTGAACACCTAGCTGAGTCAAGCAAGCAGGCCTCCAACCGGCCACTCATCATTGAGACGGGTCCAGACGACCTTTGGAGGAAAATACAGGCCAAGGAGTATTCGGTCATCGACCAGCTAAACAAAACACCAGCACAGATATCCATCCTCTCATTACTGCAGAATTCCAAGACACACAAAAATGCTCTGTTGAAGGTGCTGAGTGAAGCATACGTGCCAAGTAACATCACTGGCGGGGAAATGGCTAATATGGTGGGACAAGTATTAGAAAGCCATAAAATCACCTTCTATGAGGACGAGCCGCCACCTGAAGGGTTGGGTCACAACAAAGCCCTGCGCATCACTGTACAATGCGAAGACTATTTCATCACCAGGATCCTGATCGATGGGGGTTCCAGCCTTAACATCTGTCCTTTGGTAACACTCAAGAAGTTGGGCAAAGGGCTGCATGAGATAAAAGAAGGAGCAATCAGTGTGAAGGCTTTTGATGGGTCTCAGAGGTCCACCATCGGTGAGATTAGCCTGTGTCTGCAGATGGGACCAACCTGGTTCGAGGTCGATTTTCAAGTGATAGATGTGCCAGCATCCTACGCATGTAAATATCTTTAAAAAATAGTGATATATTAATAGTGATACCTTAAATACAAAGCATATTTGGGTTGAGTGCAAAAGTATTCCCATGACTTTCAAATTATTGGTCCGCCTTTGCATGGTGAGAAGAACAAAAAATAATTAATGCAACATAAATTGTATCATAAGGATTGCACAAGCAAGTAGGTAAAACACTCATATCACTACTCAACACTATTTATTCCCACAAGCTTAAAAGATGGTTTTGAATTATACTTTGTAATTTTTGCATAATTTAAATATATTTTTTAAATTTAAAAAACAAAGTACAACTCTCCTTATATCGTATAATGTAAAAATGATTTGTTTAGCAGACATGACAAATATTAAAATATGTTGCATCCTCGTGCCTCACTCATATGTGTCATCAATTTTTATTAAGTGTGATAATTGCAATGCTATAGTGGGGTTTTCAATATAAGCTTTAATTTATGTGATATTCGTAACATATTCAAAATTTTGACAGGTTAACTAAGTGATACAGAATCTAGAGAAAAAAGTGAGTGATATTAAACAAGTTCATTGTAAAATTAATTTGAAAATTTTCGATTAAATGAAGTAAAATGCTGGTAAAAAGCGCTTTCTCCTCTAATGAATCTTACGCGGCGCGAATTCGATTTAGTTGAGGCCCAGTGAGGATTCGAACAACGGAAAAAAGGAAAAAGAAATTTTTTTTGTAGTGCAACAAGTTGGTTACTAGTCCTTCGATCCAATGCAATCGTAATATGAAGATGTGATTTTGAGTTTAAACAAATTGCATTATAACTCAATAATACAATACGTATTTGAACCCCGGAATTCTATGAAATCCTATAACTGCTGGATGAATAAAAAAAAAATACGGGTCAATTAAGTTAAGAAACATATATAATTAAGCAAAAATAAATATAACTACAAATCCAAACTATATATCAGCAAGAAATTTCCTTAACGTCTTTTTCTTTAGTTGTCTAAAAAATACCCCAAAAAACTGCTCCTAAAAACCGTTATCTTGTTTTTAAAAATATTTAACTTAAATGCCTTTCGAAAACTAAACATTGCAACGTTTTGTTTTGTTTTTCTTTCCGATAAAATTGCAACGTTTAGTTTTCAGTTTGCTATTTTAATCTTCAGAAATCCGATGAAAACATTAGTAATAATAAATTCTTTTTTAATTCTTTGTTTAACTACAAAAATGTACAGAGTATTTGTTTTAATTGGTTTTTTGCTGTTTTATGTGATAAACTCCGATGGGGCCCACATCAGAAATGCACCATCCCAATCGCCGCCGGCTAAATCTCATGCCCACGTTTCTTCTCCGGTCTCTACTCCGGCGGATTCTCATGTATCGCCTTATAAGTCTCCGCTCACTCCAGAAATTTCTCCGGCAATTACGGCACCTCCTAAAACTAGTCCGTTTGCTTCGCCGATACAGTCTCCGACGAGAACTCCACCGCCGACATCCAATTCGCCTGCTCCGGTACCATCTGCAACGACTTCTGAAACGCCGGTGAACACTCCGGCATTATCTCCTGCGACAACTCCGCCGATGACAGTCATCTCGCCGGCAGTCATTCCGGTGAACGCTCCTGCATCAGTATCACTGCCGGAGCCTCCTAAAAGGAAACCGTCCGCTTCACCGTCATCCTCCCCGGCGACGACAGTCATTTCGCCGGCAGTCACTCCGGTGAACACTCCTGCATCATTACCAGTGCCGGAGCCTCCAAAATGGAGACCGTCCGCTCCGCCAGCCTACTCTCCGGCAACGACACTCATTTCGCCGGCAGTCACTCCATCATACACTTGGACTGCTCCGATTCCGTCTGCCGTTACTCCTCCGCCAGCAATTGAAACTCCGGTGAACACTCCTCCGGCAGCTTCACCAGAAACAGCGCAAATTCCGGCAAATTCTTCTATAACTCCATCAGAGGCACCGGAGACGTTTTCTTCAGATAGTAGCCCGCCGATTCCGGCACCGGGTAATATTTCGCCGGAGAGCTCACGGGAACCAGTGGCTAATATTTTTGCTGCAACTTCAAAATTCGAGGTGCCAATTTTTGTTACCGGGCTTGCTATATGGACTGTAATGGTAATTTGAATATTTGTAAAGGCGCAATTTTTATGATTTTTTTTTTTTATTTTTATTTTTATCTATACGTAGTTTCATTTTGGTGGATTTAGGAATTTTTCAAGTTTAAAGAAACTAAAAGAATTCCCTTTGATGTTGTAATATTTTTTATTCTTTAAATAAGTAAAAAACTATATTTCTCCTCATCTTTTCAGCTTACCTAGGAGTTAGGACATAATCCTTGATAGCAGGGTATAAAGGTCGAAGATTATGGTTATAGATAAGTTAGTAGTCTAGTTTGTTTCCTTTTCACACCTGTACATCCTTCCCTAGCTATAGTACTAGTATTATCGTTGTGTTCCTTATTTTTAGATCGATATTTTCTCTTTGCTTCGCTTTATTTTCTGGTTGTTGTTACTATTTTGTTTGTTGTAGTTCTCTGTCGTAATTACTTCAAATTTGTTGTATTGGGCCGAGGGTCTTTTGAAAACAGATTCTCTACCTTTACAAGGTAAGGGTAAGGACTGCATGCATACTAACCTCCACAGATCCCACTAATAAAATTATACTGGGTATGTTGTTATTGTTGTAAATAAGTAAAAGGCTATATTTCTTCACCTCCTTTGGTTAGTGGAGCCATTCTTTTTCCGGAAGAATTAATCTAAATAGCCGTTCATTCAATCAGTTAAACAAAAAGCAATTAATGAATATGTAATTTATGTGTAATTCATGTATACTATATTTTTTGTTTTTTTTGTCTTAGAGAGGTTTACCATCAATGTAAACTAATTAGGAGTATAATACAATGAATCTTCTTTAAACTTTAGCTGCATAGATAATTTAGTTATATAACTGAGTGTGAATTAATTGGGGCTTTATTAATCAGAGTTGAATATTGGAGTTATTCGCTCCAGCTGAATATGAATAAATGTGTAGTTAATTCACTCTCTTGGAGTACACGGTTTTTGGTTTCGATTGTCAAAAATTTCTTTGTACTTTTGCCCGCAAAATACATACTTTACCCATCAATCTTGTACCCAAATCCCTTTTACACACCTGTTAAATGTGAGACTAATATTACACGTTAAAACTTTTAAAAGTGTGTCAATTACACACCACTTCGGTGTTTGACCACATCTGCTTAAAGATTGCTATTACACGCGCCAATCAGCATCTGACACGTGTCATAAATAAATAAAAAAACTAAAATAGAAAATCTCTGTCCCCCCGCCCCCCTCCTCATCTTCCCAAAGAAAAAAAAAACAGAAAAGAGCACCCCCCCCTCCCCTCCTCATTCCAAAGATAAAAAAAAACCTCCCCCTTCCTCGTCTTCCCAAACCCATCATCTTCTCCACCGCCACCATACTACCACCAACCTTTCCACCACAAGCACCTTCTTCCCAAACTATAGATTCAAATTTTTTGTTGATTTTTAACAAGTTTTAACAACATTCTTCACAAATCCTTATACAAATTTCAAATTCAAGTTCAAACCCAAAGCTTCAAACTTGTTAATGGTGTCTTTTGAATTTTATCAAAATTAATCACCAAATTTTCAGCATATTTTTAGTAAATTTTCACTCAACAATAATCACGAATTCAAATTAATTTTCTAGGTCATGGAATACCAAAATCAACAAGACCTGATTATATTTTCAAGCTTTTTCAAAAGGTCAATAATTGTGATTTTTACAAGACCCAAAAGCTACCTTTTTTTTATTCTTCTTTTTCTTTTTCTTCTTAGTCATGGGGGTTGGAGAGGCGAAACATAAGGGGGTAGACAAAACTAGGATGGACGTTGGGCAAGAAGACGAACAGGGGGGGGGGGGGGGGCGGAGCGCTGGGGTTTGGGTTTGAGGAAGAAGACATGGGTTTATATTTTTGTTCTTTAATTTAAAAAGGAAATAGTTAAAAAACGGGAAAAATAATGAAAAAAAAACTTAATTTCAGATGTATTTTTTCGTTTTCACGCGCCTCTTTTATGTGTAATACACGCGTGTGACACATGACAAAAGAGGTGTGTAATTTACACACTTTTAAAAGTTTTGGTGTGTTATAGTATTCCCGTGTGTAACAAGTGTGTAAGAGGAATTTGAGTGCAAGGTCGTCGATGGGTAAAGAATGTATTTTGCCTATATTATATTATCAAAAATGCATATACATGTCTGATTAGTATGAGTTGTGCGCCCCAAAGAGTTATTGTGGGATGAATAAGATTTTTTCGCTCTTAACCAAAACTTTTGTATTTGAACCGTACGAATGAAGAAAATTCTACAAGAAAACTATTCGCTTTTTAATTGACTTTATGCAATGCGAATCCGAGTTAGTCGGAATTTCAATGTGAATACTGAAAAGGCGAACACCGGGTGCAAAATTTTAAAAGTGAGTCGTACAAGGAATTCATTATGACACATTTCATTAGAATTTCAGTGTGACATCCAGGAGACAGTGTAAGTGTTCAAAGAATATACTAGTAACCAACTTGTTGCACTACGACTTCTTTTTTTTTTTTAAAGTTCTAGTGGAAAATCATTTGCCTTTTAATGATCCTCATGCTATGCGAAATTGAGTTAATCGGAATCCCAATACGAATACTGAAAACGCGAACACCGAATGTAAAATTTAAAAAATGAGTCGTACAAGGAAATCATTATGACACATTTCATTGGGATTTCAGTGTGACATCCAGGAGACAGCTAATGATGCATTATTTGATGGCAAGACAACAAAAGTCTTCTTTTTTTGAGCAAACAGGAATATATATATATATATATATATATATATATATATATATATATATTAATAACTAGTTGTTGCGTACATAGCCTTCATAGTTTGTGTCACTAAGGACACTTTGATTTCCTTGGCTTGCTAGAATATTACAAGCCTCAAAAGATAGAGTCTTAGTACAAATATTTCTCATTTCTCCATCTTGTTNACTAGATGGTTTACATAGGTAGGTGGTAATACAAAAACTTCCTTTCTTTTCTGCCTTGCCTTCTTTGCCAAATTGTGCGCAATCCTATTCCCTTGCCTGAACGTGTGCTGGAGGATCACCTTCTGTTGGAGCATGGACAACCTGCATTGAACAATAGTGTTATTATAAAGTTTGTTTCCTTGATGAATGGAATGAATGACCTCCGTGAAGTCCGTTTCTATCTCTAGTAGAAACATGCCCCATTCTTGTGTTGTTTTTAATCCCTCATTGAGTGCCTTTAATTCTGCATGTAATGATCCGGAAGCCTTGGTAGTTTTAGCAAATCCAACCAACCAATTTTCATGGGTATCTCTGATTATCCCTCCAATGTCAGCATTCTCATTGTGATTTTTGAAACTAGCATCAATATTAAGTTTAAACCATCCTCTAGGTGGTTTGCTCCATTTAATAGGGATAGGAAATTTTGTACAAGTGTTAGGGGATTTTTCAGTTAAGAAGAGAAATTCAGTTGCTTTTGGGATGACATGATTAATGTTGATAGGAAAATTTGTGTTATTGTGATTGTTATTATTTTCTATTGATCCAAATTTGCCAAATGGCAAATGAAAATACGAAGTTCCAGTTTGGGATATTGTTGGGCAGATTGACAACTGGGCTTTGTATTTGTAGAAGCCAGTGCCTATTAGAATTATTATCAAAATGAAAACACCCTAACTGTTCCCAAAAGAGTTTGACTGCTTGACAATGTAGAAAGATATGGCTTATAGTCTCTTATTTTTGGGATTTGCAAATATGGCACAAGGGATCTATATGCATGCCAATATGTGAGAGATATTTCCTGCATGTGAGTCTATTATGGAGGCATTGCCATAGGAAGAATTTCACCTTATTTGGACAATTAAGGTTCCAGATCCAGGAGAAGTCCTGTTCATTTGGTGAGGGAGTTTCTATTAAAGCATAACAGGACTTAGAAGTGAAAAATTCTTTTGTGGTTAGGGACCAAATGGGGATATCATTGTTGGGGCCATTCTTGCGAATTTTTGTATTAAGGATATTGTTTTTTATATTGGTAGGGAGGTCTACACTTAGCTTATCAAAATACCACTGCTTTTTGTCCCAAATATCTCTTAACTTAATTGAGTGATCTGCTACAGATAAAGGACCCGCTACCTCCCTTCTAAGGTTACCCATATTGCTAATCCAATTAGAATCCCAAATGTTCATATTGGTATAATAGTGAGGGGACCAAGTAATGCCTTTTGAACATATCTCCCATCCCTTTTGGATACTTTTCCAAATAAAGGAGTTTTTGTTAGTGTTCTTATTTAGACAATAGGTGTGGATAATAAAGCGTGCCCAAGGAGTTAAGGGATTGGTTAGAAGTCTCCATGAGAGAGATGCTAGTGTACATAAGTTCTTTGATTGGGCCGAGTGAATGCCTAATCCACCATTTTTTTGGTTGACACATCGTAGACCAACTAATGAGGTGAATTTTCCTTTTTTAAAAAGTGCTGCCCCATATAAAGTCCCTCTGAGTTTTGTCAATCCTATTGAGAGTATTCTTTGGTAGGAGGGAGTATTGCATATAGTGATTGGGAATTGAATTAAGGCAAGAGTTAGCTAAGGTAGTTCTACCTTCCAGGTTAAAGTATTTTAATTTCCATGAAGCTAACCTAGACCTCATTTTATCAACAATGAATTGAAAGTCTCTTGGTCTAGGACAATTGCTAAGAATTGGAAATCCTAAGTAGGTACCAAATTGGTTACAACTCTTTATGCCCAGTGCATTAGAGGTGGAACTAATGAGGATAGAGGTGAAATTCTTTGAAAAGAGTATTTTTGATTTAATGTTGTTGATGCATTACCCGGAAAGGTTACAAAAAAGGTCAAGTCCATTTTTATGGCATGGCAAGATTTGTTGTTGACCTTGGCCATTAGGGTAAGATCGTCGGCAAAAAAGAGATGTGAGAAGCTAGGACATTTTTTTTCCTAAGGTGATTGGATCCCAATTCCTAGTGTCAACTTGGTGGTTGATGTATCTAGTCAGCATTTCAAGGCAAAAGTCTAAATGTAGGGCCAGATGGGGTCACCT